CGCCCGCCGGGCGAATCAAAGTTCTCTTCCGGTCAACTGTCCACCGTTTCAAGGTGGGGTCGCCCCTCCTCCTGCTAATCCGGCCATTTCTGAACCTTTCTTTCCCACCCTCGAGAGACATGGTCCAAGCCCGGTGAAGAAAGAAATGCAGATTCAAAAGAGCTCGTGAGCTAATGGTGCCTGTAAGTGTCGAGGCTCGACGAAGGGAAGGGAAGGAAAACGCTTTCGAAGATCCAAGATTGGATTTCTTTTTCATCAAAAACGAAGAAGGCCGAGGATGGCCTACAGTGCGACAACCAGAATGAAATATTATTTAATCGTGGAAATGCCATGTCAGGTGCACCTATCAAAATCGGAACAGACCAATTACCAGATCCACCGCCAGAAGCAGGCAAGAAAAAGTCCCTCCCCTTTTTGTTTGCAAGTAGAGCACTAAAGCACCCTCTCTTTCTGCTTCATTCGTTGATGCGTCATGCTTCAGTTGATTATTCTGTTTTCTCTTCCCGCGCAGGCCACCAACTTCCTTGACCTTCCGGCGCTCGAGGAGAAGATAGGCAGCTCGACTCCTCGATGTCTTCCACTGAAACTAGTACCTTATCCTTGACCACCATTAGCACAGCTTCAAGTCTTCAAGGATGCTATTGGTGTGTAGGATGCTATTGGTGTGGTGTGGATTGATTAAGAATCTTTAAAGTTTCAGTTGTAATGAGAAATTATTTATATGGGCGTTTGGTAGATTAAGATTTGTGCAGCTGCTGTTGGTGGGAAGAATGCTGCTGTGGCTACCATAAAGCCTTCATCAAAATTTTAGGTCTGACTCTATCTTTTTTTTTTTTTAACAAGAGACTTTTCATCAATGAAAAAAAAAGGAAGAACAAAGATTTCTGACTCTATCTATTAAGTAAACTTAGTGTTCTTTGTGTAATTTTTTGCTTTGTATTGTCAGGTCTACAGGTTGGTCTTTAGTTCTAGCTGAAGGTTTGTTTGTTCGGTCTTTTTGATCATTTATTTGGATTTGTTAAACACGATTAAACCACCAATTAATCAAAAAGCTTAAGCTGATGGGTTAGGATAAATTTAATTATTTATACAATATCTAACATACCTCCTCACTCATGGGCTTGGAAAATTGAACAAGGCCCAACAAGTGAAAGTCAATATTGAATGGAGAGGAAATGAACAACACGGGGGGTTCGAACACAAGACCTTGTGTTGTGGAGAATATTACTGAAGCTTTCATTGGGTAAGTAATAATAAACCAGGACTAACTTAGTATCTTCACGGCACCATCCTTGAACTGAACCAAGTTCTTGTGTCGTAAACAACCCACCATTGTTTTAAACTCTATGGTGAAAGGATTGCGCACACAATCAATTCCRTTGGCCATCTCAAACCTTTTAATAGCCACTTCTCCACCAAATACGATTCTGCTTCCCCTTCGTACTACCGAGATTCTTGCCCGACTTTCTTTCGGCACTCTGATATTATGTTAAACATGATTAAACCACCAATGAACCCAGAAGCTCAAGCTAATGGGTTAGGATAAATTTAATCATTTATAGGACATCTAACCGATTGTTGTTTGTTGTTGATATTTAGTAGTCTGCCCTAGTTTCTTTACGTAAGTTGTTGCTACTTCTTTGTAACTTTTCACTTCGATAATAAAAATTTTTATTTCCTTTTTAAAAGATTAAAAAAAATCATAATAATAATACAATTGAAAAAAATAACATGGTCGTCAAAATGAGAAAATGTAATGAACTTACCACAATAAGTTTACCAGCATTCTCAGGCCTCCTTGCCAAGCTTATCGCTGCTACTGCAGCAGCTCCTGATGAAATGCCAACCTACAAAGAGGTGAAACTATTACTACTAGATCTAGTATGGTATAACACTTCCTAAGCAATTATYTAAAAACTAGAGGGAGGAGACTATCAAATCTCAAGGGAAAATATCGAAGAGGTGAAGATATCAAAGATCCAACAGTTTAGCAGTTATTTAAAAACTTGGTAGGAGCAAGAAGATACCATCAAATCTAAAGGGAGTTTTGAATGATTTTCCACAGGAAAGTTTAAATATTTTAAATGGGCTGTTGATGGTGTAATAATTGAACATGAATGTTGATTACAAAAATAAAAATAATTAAAAATTTTTGAACATGAATGAAATTTTCAAAGATTTGCCACCCAAAATAACATTGCAAAATATAAGCAATTACCAGCAGGCCTTCCTCCAATGCTAATCTCCTGGCCATTTCAATAGCTTCATCATTGGTTACCTACATTTTTCTCATTAAAAAATTACTTAGTGATAGTCAATGACGGGCTGGGGCCATTATATGAAAATAAATAAATTGCAAGTTATAATGTTATAGACATTAACATGATCTTTTAGCGGGGCTGAGGCTATTATATGAAAATAAATAGATAAATTGCTAAGTTATAATATTACAGACATTAACATGATCTGCTAGATTATTAATACAGAAAAAAAAAATCTGCTCTAAATAATATATACATACAGATATATAYATGTAGATACATACATATATGTACCTATACACACACATACATACATATATATCTATACACACATACATACATACATGTAAGTAATGATTCAGGACACATACATGTCATCTTAGCTTCAGTATTCAATTCTTGAGTAAGCTAAGAAGGAAAAAATTATAAAAATAAAAAATGTATAGTTCCCCAACCCTCAAGTAGATAATTACCTTGATCACCTCATCAAGCAACTTAACATCCAGAATTGGGGGCACATAACCTGCGCCAATCTTCAAGAATGTTAAAGCCTGAGTAATCATTGCTCCAAGTACATACAAGACAAAAAACAATGCAACTCACCAGCATTCTCTCCCGAGATTATGCTTCTTTCTGCAGGTTCCACGCCAACTATCTAAGTTAATAAAACTACTCATTAGACCATTAAACACCATCTAAAGAAGTAGCACTAGCAACAGAATAATTGACTAGTGTACTAAGACCTTTAAGATGTGAACCTTCAATCTAGTCCTTGCGAAAAAAGAAAAAATACCAGTAAAAAAATTATCTATTTTTGGTTAAAGTATGTTATTGTACTAATTATTTGAATTAGCCTCTCCGTTCAAGTCATTGTGAAGAGAGAGAATTATGTACRGTTTCCATTTTTGTTAAATAAAAGGTCTACCATTATATTGATTAGTCAAGTTTGTTATTCTATTTCAGATTAGCTCGTTTAGTTATTAATTGTTTATTTGAGTCATAGCTCACACAGTGCATACATTTGAGGTCCATATGCCATATCAGTTTTATTGTTATGGAACAAAATAACACTTCTACTATAGATGGTAAAGTTGTCATTTTTTATCCAAGCATCAGTTCCTTTTCTTTTTACTTTGTTCTCAAATAAATACAGAGAATTAGGCCATAAATCAAATAATCTGACATATGAAAATATGTGACACAAGTATTTATGTTCCTTGAAATACTAAAGATAATTTGATGAACGAATATTACATTATATTATTACAAATGATATCTTTGAATAGTAAGGATTACCATTTCTGTATGAGCAAGTATTGCATATATAACATGTTCTCTGCCAACGCTTTCATGAGAGCTTTAGGATTTTGTTATTGAGTTAGTTAGCCACTGTGCTCGTCTATTTTTTTTCCATTCTTTATTCAATGCATAACTTCATTTCTACTAGTCTTTTAATATTCTTGACAAAGAATTTACTCAGAAAAACAATAATTTTATTAGCCCAAACCTTAATCGTTTCTTTCATCATATTTAGGTAACGTCCAGTTCCTGTAATGGTACCACCAGTTCCAATTCCAGCAACAAAAATGTCAACGCTACCCATGGTATCCTCCCATATCTCAGGTCCTGTGGTTTCAAAGTGGACCTGCAATTCATATAAAACTTATAACAGGCTTTAACATTATATAATTGCCATCATATGCTGTGCAATTATATGAAAAGATGAAGATAATGAAGATTGCATAAAACTTAAGAGATTACAGAGACAYTTGGGTTGCAAGAGTATGTGTTGACAACTGAATAGAGACGAAAAAGGAATAACCTTCGTATTAGCAATGTTATCAAACTGTTGAAGCATGTAGGCATTGGGAGTACTGATTAGAATTTCTTCTGCTTTGGCAATAGCCCCTTGGAGACCTTTCTCTGAGTCCGTCAAAACAACCTCTGCACCAAAAGCACGTAATAGGATCCTCCTTTCAACATTTATGGATGCAGGCATGGTGACTACAAGTTTGTACCCTTTTGTTGCAGCAACGAAAGCTATGCCAAGTCCCGTATTCCCAGTTGTTGGTTCAACTAATATGGTCTACGTACGCATTACCAGAATGAAACATCAAGGTCATGCACTTTCATATTTTTAAAGGAAACAGATATTCCGCTGATAAACTGTCTCCAAGCACAGCTTACCTTAGCTGGAGATATTGCACCACTCTCTTCGGCACTGGATATCATACTGTAACCAATCCTGAGAAATCAGTAAGGTAAGAGAGATGAACCGATTAGTAATATATATATCTCCTCTCACCACCAAATTGAAAAGAAGAATGTTGTAAAGGATACATAGTAACTCCATTTTGTAATGGATCTCCAACACGTTTTGAAGGTTGCGAATGTAGCCAAAATCTAAAGTCTCATTAATTCTAAAAAAATATTTATACAATTGACATGAGTGTAAAGTGTAAAACCTATATAAAGAGGCTGAAAGTAGAAATCTAAAGCGCATAAACCAGCCACCACTTGTTATGCACCATAAAATAGCCCAAAAGTCCAAGTTTTGTAATTTCTTTCAAGTCTGATATTTTGTTGGTAATTGACTTGTAGTTAGTTAATTAGTCCTGTATGCATAAAGGCTTTAAGCTCTTGTTTTGGAGACTTCCGGAATAACGTTAATATGGTTGAGTATTCTTGGAGAGTAGAAAAGCTACATCAGTTGCTTCATTAATAATTGTCCTAGATGCCACTCAGAACATAGCTGCCAGGCAACGCAAGGTTCTACAGAAATGTGCAGTCATACACAAGGATTCAAACAAGGAATCACATACAGTGGTGGGATATAAAAAAACCCTTCACTGATTGGAAGTTTACCTGTCTTTTACACTTCGACATGGTTCCATTGATTCAAGTTTTGCAGCAACATTTGCCACGCAGCCTTCTGTTACTTTGTTGAGATATATCATAGGCGTTCTTCCAATCAACTAAACGAATTTAATAGAACCATCCAAATCAGTACTTATTTCAAAGATAAACTTTTCATCCAAGTCAATTTCGACCATAAAACTTTTTTTTTTTTTTGTAAATGAAACAATTTCATTGATGCATGAAATTACAAGAGTGGCCCATAGGAGGGATTACAAAAGATGCCCATATGAGGGCTAAAGAAAGCTTCTCCAACTGTAAAGTAGACTTGAAAAGCTATAGGTGTGAAAGAGATGAGAGCATTTACACCAAGATATAACAAAAAAAACAATGGTGTCAAAAAACCGTTCAAAAGGCTGTTCTTTGTCGTTGAAAATGCGCTGATTCCTTTCCCTCCATAATTGCCAAAGGAAGGCCCTAATAAAAAGCTTCCAGAGAAGTTGTTTTTCTCTTTTGAAGGGGTGTCCAATAAAACTTTTAATTTTATCAAATTCAAACCTAAACTTTTAATTTTATTTTTCTTTCCAATTAAAAATTACACGTCAGTTTCAACAACTTGCGCTAGAAAGAAGAACTTCAAAACAACAAAATACATGAAACTAAAACACAACAACTAAAACACACAAAAATTAAGTGGGTGGATATGGATAAGTGGTTCCATGGTGATTTAACAGAAAACGTAATCCATATGAGATCATACTAGTCGATGTAAGAAAAATCTTGTAAATCCATGCTCTCCCTATATTGCCTTTATGCGGTAACAGACCCCAAAAATCCTCGCCATTATCCCGTTCCGGCGAACAAAGAGTTAAAATCTACACCGCGGTTTTCGTAATTATACTAACAAAATAAACCGGAGCCACAGAAAATTGAAGAACCTGGGTTACGTTCTCGGCAATGTTGACGGAATCGAGGTCTTCCCATGTCGCGTAGGCTGAGCTCGCTTTCGCGAGCAGTGGTCTCCGTCTCACAATAGAACAGCCCTGAACCATACCATTAATCGGTGCAACTGAGTGCCGCTTCGGGGAGAAAGCAAGGAGGGGAAGAGGAAAGGGAAGCGAAGGAGATGGTGATAGAAAGGAAGAAACCGCCATGGCTAAYGGCCGTTGCTAAGGTTTTGAGCGGGTTTAAATCCAAAATTGTGAATTCTCCGTTGTTACCGTACGTTCCCACAAATTAAATTAGTTTTTTTTTTTAATCTAATTACAAATTTGGTCCATCGTTTTAACACGGGTTTGTGCTTAGTCTTCTTTTTTTTAATCCATGGATGTCTGAATTGAATCAACTAATTTCATGAGATAGTGGTGTTTAGTTTTAATTTAATTATAATAATTTTAAAATTTTCTTTATAGTTTAGAAATAGYTTCAATTTGATGGATTAAATTTCCTGAGTAGTCTTTAATTAATGTTTTACCCACTTAAAAAATTCACTTTTTTTTTWWYYTTWMYYC